CACAACTTACAACTTTTCCTATTATTATCATAATATTTTGTATTAATTTGTAATACGACGTTGATGGCTTTGGTGACTGATATCGAAGGCATGTCATATCGACATCTCAGAAGCACTATATTTAAATAATGATTAAAAGCAACGACCTGATCTTAGTTTTAATGAACAATGATAACAAAACAAAACAAAAAAACAACTTGAATGTAACTTAACCTAAGTACGCAAATAACTAAGAAAATCTACTAAAAAATAACTTAATACTTTGTATTCCTCCCCTAGCCTCTATAATTGCCTGTACATGTTGGTTCATGCTGTCTATAGGTTTCGAATCTCATCTTGCTGGATGTTTTGCCATTTCTCTTCTAAAGCCAATCGAAGTTCCTTAATTGAGGCTAGTGCGAATCTGCGACCTCTAATATTTCTACCAAGCATGTCCCAAACGTGTTCTATTAGGTTCAGATCTGGCGAATACGCTGGCCAGTTCATTGTATTAATACCAACTTTCCCTAAATATTACGTGACTCACATTGCAGAGTGGGGACGCGCATTATCTTGCATTAATAGAAAATCATCGCCGATATATTGAGAAAAAGGTACTACGTGATTCGCTAAAATTTCCTCAATATACCGGTGTGTAGTTAGCGAACCCTCAATAAATACCAATTCAGTGTGCTTCAACATATTCATAATTAAAAAAGTCCTAAATTGTGGGTGGCAAATTCATTTGTCTCTCAAAAATTAACCAATGCATATTTTGCCATGAAACAAAAAACACAATGCTTAGGAGACATGGCTGTAACCGAAAAATAAGGTTTTACGAAAATTCGCAAACTGAATTATTCCGCAGGATGTTTCAAAGTTAGGATAATAAAACCACGTTTGAATTAATCCCGCACAATAAGGCAAATTTAAAATTTTATCAAAAAACTGACTATACCAAGTTCAAATTTATAAATTAATATACAGTGTGCTAAAAAAATCATCAAAATAGGGCTAAAAATAAACAAAATGAAATACTTTGAATTTGACCAAAATTTTCTCCGTTGCGTTTTTTTGCATCTGAGTGTAGTATACGATGATTCGGCAGCTGTTGTGCTACAAACAACACCAACTTGATACTTTTGGTTGCCATCAGTCCGTTAAAAAAATCGAAATGAAAAAATAGATAAACGCAAGCTTATTTTATTTTAGAATCTATTGTACATAAAATCTACAAAGATATAAATTTGTAAAAACACCAATTTTATTTTTATATAAATTATATTTTTCTAGATGTTAGGCTATTGCTATCGTAAAATTATGAAAAAGACTTTATTTATATACTGTAGAATGCATCACTTGAATTTTATAAAAATAATACGATGTTTTATGTCAAACTCGCCTCGAGATACAAGCTAGAATATGTCAACTAGCAGTCTAGATATATGGTCACTAATATAAGAAAACTTTGGAAAATGTTTAAAATGGTTATTCGCATTTTTTGTTATATTGAATAAGAATTTCAACTTTGCTACAAAAGATTTGTTCTAGACTCTTAAATGTCACTATTTTTCGACACTACAGTGTTGCTGATTAAAACCTTTTTAAGCAAAGAACATATTTCAGGTTCAAAGGACCAATGTGTTCTAATATAATTTGAACTAAATTAAGCAAAACAATTTATGTCCTTATTAAAGTAAGTTTCAATGATAATGACTTAATTAACCAATAAATAATTACAGTAAAACCTGCATATCCGTGACACCCGTAATACGCAATCCTATGTACAGTTGCGGTCACGGAATAGTTTACAGGTTCACGTATCTAGGAGCCCATTTTTTAAATTTTTACTTCGTTTAAACGCACCTTTTACGTCAAAGTGACGTTGCCAGTGGTGTACTAGCTAGAATAGGTAGATTAAAATTAAAATATCAAAATATTTTACAAAATGAAAAATATAGAAAACAGTTTTTTGAATAAAATGGATTATGATCTTAATAACAAAAATAAAAAAGTCTTTTTTTTAATATGCATTTTATTTTAAATCTATTTTATATTAAATAACGATAAACAATGATAAATAATAATTAATATTTGGTGGAAGCCCCATTCTTGTCAATACAATTTTGCAGTCTTCTGTTCATAGATAGCACCAATCCCCTCATGTTATAGTTAACAAGCTCTTCCCATGCCTGCTCAATTGCTTCCCATAATTCAATTCTATTCCGTGGTCTAAGGTTTCTTTCATTTAGTTTCTTTGTTAACTCTGCCCACACATTTTCGACGGGGTTAAAGTCTGCACTACGGGAAGGCCACGGAAGAACATTAACATCAGTTTCTTCTAGCCATTCTCGAACAATTCTACTCGTATGCACCGGGCAATTGTCATGTTGGAAGATAAAGTCGTTGTTGGGGAATCTCTGGATCACCGATGGCAACATTGTGTGCTCAATAATATGTTTGTAATATAATCCTGTTAACTTCTCCTCTACATGATAACAAACGCCCGGGCCTTCGGCACTTATCCATCCCCATACGTTGACAGAGAATCCTCCACTATTTCTTAAATGATGCGTATACTGTTCATCACACCTATGATTTCTCGGCCTATAAACTCTTATTCGACCATTATTATACGACTGAAATACTTTTTCATCGGAAAGTACAACCCTAGACCAAAAATTCTCATCGCGGTTTATAAATTCATTACAAAATTCAACTCGTCTCCTCTTGTGAACCTCAGTCAAAAAAGGTTTCCGTGCAGCTACACAATTTAGCAGTCCACTTGCTTTAATTCTTCGACGTGCAGTGCGAATACTGCCTGGAAACGCTGCCTCTTCTCTTGCCTTTTGAGCTGTGGCAAAAGGAGATTCTCTCAAATAATCTACTAACATCTCATCCTGTTGATCTGTGGAAATCTTCTGCCCTCCTGAACCGCCCAACCGTGCTATAGAGTGAAAATTATCCCATCTTTGTTTAATCTTCCATATGCACATATGACTCACGTTCAAATCAGCAGCAACTTGCCTTAGTGACCAACCTTCTTCGAGTTTGGCAATTGCTCTTGCTTTTTGCGCATAATTCAAATGTATTCTAACCATTTTGGAAGAGTTTAATATACTTTTATTTTATTGTTGAACACTCGCGAAAGCATTGACGTTTTGAAATTTTTTGACTTTGACATTTATCAAATCCGTACGACACTGCAATTTTACAGTATTACAATATAAAAAGTAAGGTGTAAACTATTCCGTGACCGCAACTGTACCACGAACATTTTGATGGTCACCTGTATATTGTAATATAAAAAACTCTTTATTTCAGATAATTGATTAATATTGTCTATTTAATCTTGTCTATATTCGAAAATTAACCTAAGAGCAGGTGATTAAAAGTAAGTTTGAAGATAAGAAAGATTGAAGATACAATATTTAAGTAAGGTTGCTCTTTTTTTGTAACAGTGTAAAAATTACGAACTAATAAATATTCTTCAATGTTTTTCGCTAAAACCCCTTTGTATTCTCCTTATCTAAACTGGATTGAACATCTCGAGGTGAGTCCTAATTCAGCCATAGGTGATGTTGGACTAGCGTCTTATCCGTTATTTGCTAGTTTAAGTTTGTTGAACGACTTTTTTAATGTGTTAAAATAGACGTGTTTTCCAGCAGTTAGGGCCTATGGCTACAATGTATAGTTAGATAGATCTCAGTGAAAATTTGAACATCTTTATTATCAACGTTTTTATCAGTACGTTGGAAAAAATTATCGTCTATGAATTTTATATCTGTTAAGTATGAAGTATTTAATCTCTTTTAATAAAAAAATGTTATTTTTGGATAATCTCTGTTGCGTATATAAAATAAAATTTTGACAAATTTAATTAGATTACTTATTATGTGAAGTAGATGAAGTAGAAAAGTTTAGTTAATAATTTATCGATGGGATATTGATACCACAGAATCTATATTCTGGGAAGTTAAAGACAATCTAACTAATTTTACTTCTTCATCCTATATTAACCTCATTATACCTCAAAATACATTGGCATTCTAATACACATTTTTTAACTTATCTACAGTACAAGCGAGAAGTGGCTGGTTATCTACATGTAAATAGAAAAGAAAGTTTCATAAGAGAGATATAATAAGAAAAGTTTATTTAAGATCCCTTTCAGGTTACATCATAGAAAGTTTTCCTACTAAAAAGTCCCATCGTCAGGATTTTTGTTACCCGGTGCACATGACCTGCGTAAAAACCCTTTAGATGGTACAAAATTTAATAATATGTCTTACATTTTATGTAAATTTATTTTGTGAGGTTTGAATATTTCTCATATAGCCTACATGGCAACGTAAGACTCCCACTAGGGGTCGCTGCTGACCCTCAGACATCTTCAGTTTATTTTTTATGCCTTTTATAAACGATTTTAAATAATAATTGATGGATTTGACCGTTACTTGACGGAAATTCATTTTATGTAACAATAAAACACTGAAAACTTTGTTTTCAAAACTTCCACAAAAATTTATTATAAAATCTTATCACTACAGCTGTTTCGGCTGATTGCCTTTCTCAAGTGATCTATTTTTGACATACGTTTACACTTTAATAGTCTTTAATGAAATAGGTTGAAGAGGCGAGAACTGTTTGCCTCAAATCGGTCATTCAGAAATATATCTGTGTTTTTTAATTTCCATAGATTCTAACAAAGATAGCTTAAGGCCTTTATTTTGAATGTGAAGAATTTTAAATTAACAACATTAAAACAATGCGAGAGCGACAGACAGAGATGAAAGGAAAATGATTGGGGAGGCCTATATCCAAAGATGGACCGAATTTACCTTTCTACATCATTAAACAGCATGTTTTCAAAAATTTTATAAAATAACCTAAGACGATGTATTTATCACAATCAGAGAAACTAGAGATTTCTTAAAACATGCTAAAAAACCATTTTTAAGGGATTTGGGTATTTTATTGGATTTTTCTAATTTTGCATTTATGCTTCATTAAATCATATGCTTCAAAGTATGTTCTTAAAAAACATGAGATAATGTACTTTTCAGCAGTAGAGAAATATATGCAACCCTATCTTATTTTTTTTATATTTTTCTGTCTTTTATCACCTTTAAACACTATTTAGCCCCGCATTTCAAAGAACATTCTAAAAGAATGTCCTAAAACACTCGGTTACTTCAAATTATATATATGTACCCTATAAAAAAAACTTGATTTGATCTATTTGGAAGTCTATAAAATAAGAAAAATCCTAAAAAACCCTTAAAAAACAAGTTTTTCAGATTTTTGAAGGTGCGCGTTTTACGGAAAAATCTGGTAAAAATCAGAAATATATTTTTTGACTAAATACACAAAATAAAAGAAAATAAACCTGCAGCCATCCCCAAAAACAAAATTACGCTTTAAAAAAATTTTTAGGTCTTGCAAAGTCTTGCAAAACCTCAACTATACATATGAATTTTTTGAAGTTTTAAATTGATTACATCCTATCTAAAAAAAATGAAAAAATTATGATTGTAGTCTTATTGGCGCCGAGTCTTATTTTTTAATCGCATACAACGTAAGAAAATAAAAAAAATTGAATTTTGGGAGTTATTCTTTATTCATTTTTAGTTTGGATACTCTGTGTTTTTTTTTAGACGGAGAAGAGAACTTATTATTAGCTAAGCTACAATTTTGTACCTATGATACATACATATGAATATGAACTGATTTTTAGCTCACGTCTGCAAATAATATGTAATTTTTGATCGACTGAAGTTGAAAAATAATTTTTTATTAAACAGGTTGGCTGCCGGTAAGTTATTCACATACATTACCAGAAACGTCTGCGATCATTTCTAGTTTATCTTCACTTGCTGGTCTGGTACTTATGTTTTAAATGACAGCTGGCAGTACACGCGGCAGCCAACCTATTAAAATAAAAGTAACAGTTATTGCTTCTAAGAGGTAAAAATAACGTCAATAAAGTAAATTATAAATTCAATCATATTAAATGTATGTTAATGGTCAGTTATATTTTATAATGATGCATTATGTTTAATTTATTATTCAAATTAATTACTCGTTAGATTAGCTTCTGTCCTAAACTTTAACACACAAAAATATGTCCCAAAATACTCGTTAGACTTTAAAGAAATATTTAGGTATTTGACAACACCGCAGTGTATTTAAAGGTAGGACCTCGATCTCTTCCTGTTAACGGCCAGAGAAGAAATGACACATTAGTAATAATATCAAATTTAGTCAATGCTCAACAAGCCACTTTTCGCTTGTCGTACTGTACCCAAAAATACCTTTTTCTTGAGATATAGCAAAAAAAATGTTTCTATATCGCATAAATGATTGCAAAACTCTTCTTGCTTTGCCACATTAAAAAAATAATTTTTTTTTCTGAGTAAAAATGTTCTCTCTCTAAAAAAATATTTTTTAAAGATGGCGAAACAAGATCAATCGCCTGCAGCGGCAGTGAGAGATTCGTCAAATTCCCCATTGTCGACTGAGTCTATGTAAAGAAATAGATCGTCAATTTTTGTCACTATAAATAATCTTAAATGTTTACAGTGTTCAAGTAACAATAAGAGAAAGCTTAAATATACGCAAACATTACAAAAATTTTTTTTGTAATTAGTAATATATTGTCAGAGATATATATTTCATATTTAACAAAAGTTATATGTAAAACTATGTATGACGTAATACATGTATTTATAACGAAAATTTGTAATTTTAATATAAGTATTTGAATGAAGTTAATATTCCACCTCTTAAACAAGAGACTGAAGAAAATACTGAGTGAGAAAGAAAATGAGCGCATCATAAACCAGCGCACAAAGATAAAATTCTGCCGTTATCATCTTCAATCACTAGAATCTAGATAGATGCGACTCCTATTGAAAAAGTTACTTAATAATTTTGATTTGTTTTTTATCAGAAAATCTGACGCTGTTTTTGAAGTAGTTGGACTGGTTTTTTGATAGTTTGTAAACTATTTGCTGTCTAATCAGTTGTCATAAATACATTTATAGATCCACTAAATATACAGGATTGGAAGTAAAAGAAATGAACATACTACAGATCTTGCAACGCAGAAGTGTTAAGTTAAACGCATTTATTGATAAAGAAAGCGGGATTGGGTCGTTCAGTACGTTGAAGTGATTGAATGAAAGCGAATGAATCAATCGCGATTGATACAACACTACTTTCTTCAAAGCTGTACATCTTAACATATGCATAGTGATTATGGAGGTTGCGGTGACTCCAGACGTATCGCTCTTTTTACGCTCTCTTTCAATATATCAAAATTTCAGGTTGGACGTACCACATTGACGAATATTGTGTTTATAGTGAAGTCGTTTTATTGTATTCGGATCAACGCCCGAAAAATAATTTATGACTCTAGTTACAGCCACTCTGTTATGCTTTCCCCACATTTGTTAAATACTTTGTGGTACCGAACCTCCTACTAGTCGGCTGTAGTACTTGAGGATAAATCAGCGCTACCAAAGAGAACCGCTGACTACCTGGGGCAAATCTGAACAGACACTTTTACTACTTGTGCGACAGGCTAAAACGATCCTACTTTAATAAGTTTTCGACTATATCCGTTCATCAGGTTGGTGATCACCCTCGACTTCTTCCCTTTGTTATACTATTTTTACATTAACTATTATACATTTAAAACGAATAAACCGCTTTTTGAGAATGACGTGGTGAGAATCGAAACATCAAATATAAATTATGTTTAATTAAAAGTAAGGTTTATATAATAGTGAATATATTATAATATCGAATTCAAACGAATTGGATACTTCCAGATAACTTCATACCTTGTAGAATGCTGAGAGTTCTGGTAAAGTAAAATTCTAATTTATTTAGCAACGCGATCTAATAAGTGATTTTCTTTGTAATTCTTATCGTTATATATGGTGTAAGGCAGTATCTACCATGATTTAATCGTATGTCTAGTATATAGAAAAAAATTTGAATGGTAATAGGTGGAAACTTCTTCAAATACTTATACCAATTGTATGATCCTATTAGACAATACCTATAAAGCACCATGTCATGTGTAAACATAATGTAAAGTGATATATTTTTCAAAAATTGGGTATTTACAAAATTTTTCATTTCTATTTTCTAAGAAAAATGTTTACCACTGCCATTTTCAATTAGGTATTGTTTCCTTTTATTTTAATCTGTGTTATAACTATTTTAATTTAAATAATATTGAAATATGGCGTCAATTATTAATTTTAGTGTAATACCCTTATATGGTTGAAACATTAATAAAATAGTTAGGTGTCTTCCATCTTTACGCATTAATTGCTGTTTATTTTTTATTAAATTGAGGATGATATTCGCTCCGTGCGTGACCATGGTAGGGGTACATTAAAACGATGCCAGCGTGCGTAGCGGCGAAATATGAAAAAATTGGAATATTGGACAAACTATTTTTACGCATAAGTTTTATCAAAAATGTGTGCAAATACATGTTGCGTATTTAATTCTGCTAATAATAGCAAAAACAGTGAGTGTAGTTTTTATAGGTTCCCAAAGATTACATATAAATTAGAGAAAAGAAAAAGATGAATTCGTGCTATTAATATGAAAAAGTAAATATAACATAATTTCATTTTTATGCAATTGAAATAGGAACAATTTTAATAATTTACCTTGAATAATATTTCATAAGGCTTCAAGCTAACTGCAGATGACTTTAGCTTTTAGATCATAACTTTTACTATTATTGTTTTTAATTATATGCTCTTTTGCGTGAAAAACTTGATTTGCCAGTACTAGATTTTTCGCTTTCTTTTCCGTTTGGAGTTGAAAAGATATATTATGATGAATTTTGAGAAACTCAGTTTTTAATACTACATTTATTTTGTACATAAACTGAAAAAATATAGTTAAAAAACTAATTTATTAATAATTGTCAATTTCGCATGTGTTTAACAATGTCAAACATATGTCATATATTTAACCTGAAAATTGGGACTCCAAAATTGTCAGATGAAGGCGGTAGGTGTCGCATCAGTCACGCACGGAGCGAATAAAGGCGACAACTAAATATAGCTTAATAGAGATGGGTAGATAACGAGTAATAATTATTTTTGTGTAACTGCTCAAATAACCGTGAGTAACTGGTTAATAAAAACTTGGTATTTGTGTAATTATAAGCAGTTTTTTGTTGTTATGCTTTATAATGCTTTGTCCTTTATATAATTGTCATATAAAGATTTGGAAATTTGTTAACGGAACATAGAATTTTTAATACAATAACTGAGATTCCCTGATTTGCAATTAGCCAGTGTAAATTTCAATACAACGACGGGATGTTTTATAATTCATTTATTTGTTCGACTGGACTCCCTCTCCAGCCTTAGCAAACGCAAGCGATCATCGTATGGTAAATCTAGCCGCCAGTGTAAAAATGGAACACAGGTATAGTGCATATCAATTCGCCAAAAACGTACATTTTTACGTACATATGGAATTAAAAATATTATTTAACTAAAAAATTGTTATTTTATTGCCAGAATGGCTTGAAAAAAAGTGATTTCTAGAAATAACACATTTCCGCTAAATTTTCGGGCTCTTTTAAAACCATGTCCATAAAAACACTTGCTTTCAAATACCCCCAAAAAAATCATTTGGGTATAAGCCTGGTGATCTGAGAGACCACTTGTACAACGGGAAGAAATTAGTTTATTTCCAAAAATAATTTCTAAATAATTTTGAACTGCTCGTGTATTCTTTGTCGAAACCAAATATCGTCAAAGTTTACAGGAATTAATTTAACTACCGGAATAATTTGATTTTGCAACAATTCTAAATATTTATTACCCGTTAAATTTCCATCAATAAAAAATGAACCAGCGATATAGTTCCCCAAAATACCTGACCAAACATTAAGTTTTTGGAGATATTGTGTTCGTACTGGAATACTTAATTGTTTATTGTGCTGAGACCTATATCGTACGATGGAAGGATTATGTTTTCGATGTAACGAAAATGTCGATTCATCGGTAAACAAAACGTTCTTTCAAAAATATTCATTTTCATTTTGTTTATCCATCATGAGTTCACAAAATTCTATGCGTTTGAAATTGTCCTCGGCTAATAACTCTTGAGTAGTTGAAATTTTAAAACAACGGTAACCGTTTCGTTTCCAATATTGCTGACACTTCTATCATTCATGTCACATTCTTCAGCGATGGTTTTGCTTGAACAAGGATCACTAGTTTCAACAACACTACAAACATCAATTTCACTATTTTGCCGAACTTCGTTGAATGATGTCTCTCGTGGTAGATTCGTACATTTTCGACAGTTTTGTATACAACTAAACGATTCAATTTTTTTAATAATACGACTAATAGTTGATTGTGTCGGTATTGTTACTTGGAACTGTTGCCAAATTGGTAGACACTTTCGACAAAAATTGGTAGATTTCCATATACCATATACACCCTTTTAAATTAAAAACAATTTTTTTAATAATAAATGTATTGAAAGTATAAATTAACCAATTCAAATAATACCTAATGAACACAAATAAAATTTTTATTAATAAAACATAATTATTATCTGCACAAAAATCCACAATTACGAATATCCCAAAAAGAGTTTTAGGAAAAATCGGTAGACGGAACAACATTGTCGGCGCGCGCTTGCCAAATACGCTGCTACGGCTACGAATTGCAAAAGAGCAGCAAGCAAGACATTCATTATAAAACATCGCGACGTTGTATTGAAATTTACACTGGTTAATTGCAAATCAGGGAATCTCAGTATTTATATTTAAAATCATATGTTCCGAAAAAAAAATTTCCAAATGTGTATAGACTGTTTAAAAAGTATTTTCCACAGTGAAATAGACAACTCACCTCAATGAAATTAAGTTACAAATATATTTTTCATTTAGTTGACCCGGTGAACTTAGTACAGCCTTAGAAATAAATAATGTGTCTTAAGTTCAATAAATAAAAATTAACAGACAACCAAAAAAATACTTAATAAAGTACGAAAAAAGTTTAATCAACTTAATCCTTTCTGATAAACAATATGTTTTGTTCTTTTTTGATGTGCGTAAATATACAACGATGATGGTTTTATGACGCACTAATACGCGACGTATAATTGTCCACCTAACTACATTTTCTCCCTTCATAATCTCTTTTATTCCATGGTTCTTTCTTCTCATTTCTCCTTTTTTCTATTCTTATCAGGCCCATAATTCTTTTGAGGGTTTTCCTTTCAAATATTCTTAATCTTTGAGGCACATTGTCTTGGCTACGTATATAACTACTAGTCTGATTGCAACCTGTGTATATTTAGATTTGTATTTTTGGATAAGTTCTTGTCCTTCATTGGCCTATGATATCACCAGTATGTTTTGTTGCATCTATATAATCTCTATAATTATTATTATATCCTTTACTCATAATATAACCCATATTAAGTTTTATTTATACATTTATGCGATAAACACTGGTCGGCACCTAATTCTAATATGGTAGTTCCTTCCATAACAAATAGATCTGAATAAAGACATAAAATAATTATTCAAATGTTTAATGTACACGTCAAAAAATTTTTTTAATTCCCTTTTAGTCAACGATACCCTTACTCACAGGAATTGTGCCAGGAATCAAAATTGAAAGAAATTTGTTTTATTTTCGGAAGGAACTACTAAACCCTTATGCATGTTTTGTATGTTAACTGTTGTGAATAAAATATAACGCTTATAAAAATTTTATAAAATATATTACGATTGTTAAATTTTTCTTAACTATATGTGTGAAATGGTTCATATCAGCCAGCTCAAAAACGGCTATTACATAACTTAATCAAAAGTTGTATATCAAAATTGACAAAAAAAATGCTAAATCACATGGCCCATAATTTGTTACCTTTAGTTTTGTTGATATATCATATGAGAGAAAAATGCATATCCGATGGAAAGAGTATCAATTTATACTACTAAATTTGATAAAGCTATAAGGTGTCTTCAGGTTATTCACAGATTTTAACTTTTATCAAAAAGTGACATATCGTACCACAAACGCTGTAAATTCAAACGAAATTAAAAATATTTGAACAGTTATATCTTACAAATTAAATTTTAACTTATTATAAACCGATTACAACTTCTCCATTTGAAACTGTCTAAAGGCCCTGATCAAGAGGCCAGTGTATCATTGCAATACCGCGTTTTTATATAATGACGAGCTTGGCTCGTGGCTCGGCATATTTGTAACTTGCTACTTGGCTTGTGATGAAAACTGCGTGTCAATCACGGCCGACGAGCCGAGTTGTATGATTCTTCAGACATTCGATACTTTATTTTATTAATTTAATTATTTATTCGTCTTAAAACTCCATCTTTCTGACATAAAATAGTTAATATCTCGATAACTGCAGTTAAAACGACTCCATTCTTTTCAAATATTAATAAATAACAAAATTGTTTGTTTTTTATATTCAAGATATATTGAGGTACAGTTTAAATATATCTAATTTGATGTCATTTAATTTCTTAAAATCTCTGAGTAACCTCTAAATATGGGCTAAAGATACGTATCTTCAAAATATCAGCTAAGAAAACTGTTAAAATCTCTATAAAAATTGTTATAGTTAAAATATGTTTACTGTGCTGCTTGAATGTACACAACCATCAATGTATTTGGATATATACATACATTTAAATATATCTTTCAGCTATTATTTGTGATGTTTTAAGGAATGTTATCTCTTTAGTTGCGTATTTGTATAAAGTTAAGTATTAAGATAATAAATTTTATATTGTGAGATGATGTTAAGACCCAGAGCTTTAAATATGTCTTTATGTATCCAGTAACGATTAGGACACATCAGCACCTGCTATTTTAGTTTAATTTGAAGTAAAATAATTTGTAGTTAATAATATGACAGATCAACACAGTTTGAATTTTTAATATTTGGATTGTTGATAAAGGAACATGTTTTATTTTCCAAGCTTTAATCGTTTTACTATCAAAAAAGTTTTTATCCTGATAAAGAAATAAATAATTTGGAGTTATCTCACAGTGCTTTCTAAGATCATGTTGGAATTTCATCTTATATGTCTGGAGGAGAAACGGAGCAGTAGACTGTATGCGGATATAAAACAAATATTAATTTTTCGCTAGTACGTGATTCATCTATTTATTTTCTGCTGTTCAAAAAGGACAAAAAAACTAAGTACCTCCGACAAATGTCTTTTTGTGTTCAAAGACAAAAAGATGAAAATTAAAGGTTTAATATATCTGTATAATATACAATACTTGTTTAGAATTACTAAATACTACTTACTAAAGATGTCTTATAACCACACCTATGAAAAGAGACATTCACATGTCGCTATCTCCGGGTAATATCTAGGACAGCATGAGATGTTTGACGCTGCATCAAATTTGAATGAATGTCTTTGTGTTGCGGATTCTGGCGCAGTTCCCATTCCAGGCATTAGTTCACTCCATAAAAAGTCTTAGTTCTTTTAGAATATTCGCTTTTATACTAAAAAGAGTACTTATTATGCATTTTTGTCTATCCTTTTGACTTACCTTTACTACATAGTTTTGTTTACTTCGAGGGTGGATTTACAAAAACCTTTCAATTTTTATTACCTTCCCTGCATGACTTCAATAAATTGTTTATCTATTAGGTGTGCACATAAACACTACTATCCTTAATGGATTTACGAGACTGATAGTTGTTCAGAACTTCTCAAAACATGTCACAGATATCCTCATTACATATTTTTTTTGTTGGCATTGTATATGAATGTCATTACAGTATGTCGCGATTTTAGTTCAAATTTTATATGATAAAAATAAGGATATGCCTTGAGAAAGCATTGTGGTAATACAATCCTAATACTTTCCACATTAATTATTTTACAATCCATATTAAAATCATGGCAAGTTTATAATAACAACAGTTAAATATTTTATGTTATAGCTATAAGTAAACATATTTTTTAATCACTGAGAATAATATAAATGTTTAAATACATCTCTAGTATCAGTACAATAATCATAATTGTTTGAAGGTGCTATTTTCCATGTCGTTTTGTCACATTGAAAGGAAATAAAAGCTCCAGTGAATGTTACTTACAATTTATTAATACATGTTTTAACATACTTGCATTTTTATTCCAATCCTTATTGATTCCTTATATAATATACCTCCTTGATCGAAAAATATTATAGGAAATAAATCAACAAATTATATTTTGTATTAAAGCTATTAGAGAATCCGGAATAACGAGAGGATGGGAGTGTTCAAATACTAGTGTATGCAAATGACATTGATATCACAGCAAGAAGAAAGGTGGACCTGGTCCAATCGTTCACTTCATTGGAAGCAGCAGCAAAAAGAGTGGGGCTACATGTTAATACTAGTAAAAGTAGGTATATGAAGGTAGCAAATAATAAACAAGTATCAAAACCTGAAGAGCTAATGATTGAAACCTATACTTTAAAAAGTTCACAAATCAAAGTTAGTAACTGCAGAAATGAACAGACATATATTTAGCAAATGGTACACACTATGGATTAAAGAAACCTAACATCATTTTAATAGTCACAAAAAGAACGAAAATAGTGGTAATATTATCAAACCTGTCAGATATGTGAACAGTAAAGAATGTTTAGACTGCTTTGAACGTAAATTTCTAACACATTTATAACCAGACTGGATGGAGTGAGCAGAGGCAGACACAGAGCACAATTTAAGGACCAGGTGGAAGACGACTTATGAGTGTATGACCAGTTGAAACTAAGGAACTTTTATCTTGAAAGACAGGAAGTGATAGTGGTAAATCATTTTCTTTTAATTCCATCAAAATAGCTGGCATTTTCTGTAGCTTACCACTCTAGAAGTAGGAAATAGCAGGACAATTTGTTGGCTTTCTATATGGTAGTTGTATCTACCTGACTGTCTTAAGATGTAGGGAATATAGAAATAACATTATAACAGTCCATTGATACCAATTCATATACAGAAGGTTTGATGAATTGTGCTTGTTCTGCCATTTATTTAATGGTTTCGACCAAATTTTAACATTCATTACTTTCGTAAACCTATCATTGATAACGAAAATAAAATCAACCTAGTAAATTCTCTTGTAGACATATAAAAAACAGATATTAACAAAAACTATCAAAACTTTATTGAAAATAAATAATATTTAAGTCAACATACAACTGATTTTTTGGTATGAAAAAGACCCATCATGGCATCCTGTAGTGCCCTTAGACAAGCAATGTTTGACTTAAAGCCTCCTGCCCTTTCTTGTTCAGTCTCTGCTCTAACATGATTTAAGAAACGTTTATCTACAATATCAACTTCGCTTGGTGGTTCTGGACCATCTACAGGGAATGTAATAGGTTGGTATGAATACAGCGGGCCTTCATCTGTAGGTACTGGCAAAAAGGTAGCTTGATTTTGACGTCCAAACTGAATTCCTGTTGAAAATTGTGTGACCTTTTGTGGGACTTTCTTGACTTCTTCTTCTTTTGCCTGTTGAGCTTGCTGAGCAAATGTGTTAAGTATATTTTTAGCATCTGCATTAGAAAACATCAATTCATCAATAAGTGCTTCTTTCTCTCTTATTTTCTTTTTCTTAGTTTCTATTTCTTCTAAGTGCATTTCTTTTTTACGTTCGTCTTCCATTTGCCTTTCTATTTCCAACATTTCCTCTAACTCATACTCTTCTCTACCTAGCTTCCCTTTGCTTTTTAGAATTTGTTCTTTATTATCCCTCTTGTATTGTTCTATCTTTTTATTTGTATTTACGATATCAATATCATTTGATAAATTATAGATAATGGTTTCAATTTCTTCTAAATAATCATTGTAATCTTGCAAACTTTGAAAGTCTTCTTCTTTCTTATTAAAGTCCTTTAAGACCCGTTTTCTTATATCTACTTCCTTTTCCACTGTTGAATCTTCGAACAACTGCACTCTAAAGTTTATTCTTCGTAGTGGGATTTTACATTCTGGACAGGAGCCCGATCCTTTAAGAAAAAGCAAATCTACACAACTCTCACATAATCCGTGTCCGCAAACATTCACCATCATTTTCATTGAAGGGTTTTGAAATTTTGAAGTTCGGCATCGTGGACATGTAAAATCTTCCATTTTAATGTTACTTCTTGTAAAAAATTAAATATTTATTCCTTTCACTTACGCGGCTTTAATAACATAACCAATAAAATTGACTGGCAATTATTGTCAATGTCAAACTGAAATACAGTCTTCCTATTTCATGTCTTTTTCTGTTATAGCCCAACAACTACGATTTAAATCGTAAGATCATTACATTTATATTTTGTTTAATTTCTTTCATTCATTACACAACAAAAATTAAATTGGTGTATATAATATGTTATATAAAAATTTGGTATCAGTTCAAGTTCAAACAAATTTAATGGTTCGTTTGGTTAGAGGTGATTACTTAGTATCATGGGTGATTACTGATGCTGATTGGTGGGCTTCTTTAGCTGTCAAATTTGATTGACATATTGATATCACAGTATAAACCACAAATAGTAGTGTAAGTGGAATAGGAAAGGTGGGAAAAGTGAATTGCATGGGCCCAGCCGTTCGTAATGGCCACAGCGCTGAAAACACATATGGTCATAAAATAATAAATAAAAACTTTCCTGTACCATAATATATACTATCAATCATACTATGTATACTCTGTCTGATATTGTGTTATACATTTATGTATAAAAATACGTTAGTGTATACTATATTTTTAGACAGAGAATATATTTTTAGCTTACTTTCCATTAAGCTCTTTGAATTTTGTCGCTCAAAATTCAGAGCGTATTTTTTGAATTTGCTGTCTAAAATTCAGAACCTAAGTTTTAAATTTACCGCCAAATGACATTAATTTCGGCCCGTCCGCATTTGGCGCTAAAAACTCTCCCAAATCTTTCAATGAGACTTACCTTACTAGAGGGCTATGTACTGTGCTTGACAATTGACATCAGACATCACATCATTTCCCATTTCATATTTATAATTTGTTTACAATTTTGTTTAATGAAAAAAAATATAAATACAATCTTCCAAATGGATGATTTCGAATGGACTGTTGTTTATGAAGGGCAGTTATTGGATGCAATGGTTGGACACAAGCCCGTTGGTAAGTATCACAAACTTTTTTTTGCGCCCATACTTTTAAATACAGTTTATACAAATGGTTTATATACAATTGTTATATGCTCATTACTGCATTATGTTCAATAGATCTTCTAGTTAGTGGGAAAGTGAAGAAGTAGATATATAAACTTCAGAAACATATAATTAATAATACGGACAATATTCAACTGCATTCTTAACTATAATAAAAACCATATTTTTTTGTATGTAAAGTAATAAAACACTTTCCCGCTAGAATTTTACCGCTTGTCTATGGCATACTTGGAAAATATAATTGTCTCTCTTTTAAAATGCAACTATTTCGTAATATTAAAATTCTTCAAACCTATAGATATCAAAGAATGCAACACTAGTGTTACCAAAATATAAAATAAATATTACTGAGTTCACAGTGCAAATGAAATAGACGACTTCTAAACACAGAGAAAGATGTGTCAACGATTAATATGGCTTGCAACTTTTTTAATATGTTATTTACTAAAAAGGAAAGATTTAGAAACTAAATATTTTATACATAGAGTGAGACATACCATTTAAAAGATCCACACTAGCTCTGTGACGAAAATATCAAGATAGTTTCAAAAAGTTCCTCAGGTATACTCATCCTGAAAAAAGTGTAAAACCAGGGATTAATAATTAGAGGTTGAACTATAGTTGTAGCTTTTTGTTGTGTATCCTAGAGCCCAGAAAAGCAGACTGCCTACTTTTCTGAAACTGCACTTGTGGTATTAAAAGAAAACTTTTTTATACAAGTTGACACCCTATAAATTTAACTGAGGAACACAACAGAACTTGTAGAAAATTATATACATGGGAAATTAAATAAAATCAGACATATAATAAAAGATAAAGCAGAACAACTATAAACACTATCCAATTTAATTAGATCCTAACTTAATAATAAAACACAACAATATCAATATCCAGAATAAACAATTAAAAAATCCTGAAGAAGCCTATTTTTAGCATATTTCAAGGACATTTTTCAATAGGTTGGACATATAGAATTTAAAAAAAACAAAAAATATGAGCCCAAAGCTTAAGTCAAGTAGTTTTTATATTGCAAAAGTCATTATAAATAAATAGGTTGCCATGGAAAATTTTCAGTTAACTTCATCGTATTGGCATCATAATCTATTGATAAAGCAAGTTTCAGCTTGTGGGTATGAAATCAACCTTTTTTGATAAAAAAGGTCTCCATTTTATTATTGAATGAAACTTAACAATGGCTTCCTTTTAGTGTAATATTTGAATTGAAAATTACATTGTTTTTTGAAGTGCTGTATTCATTAATGGATATTAGCAATTATTATTACAATTTTTTCCTGTTCTTTGTCTGTCATATAAGTTATTTGAAGCCTAGTCTTGTCGTTGGTCTAATTTTTCTCATTCACAACAGCTTTTTTCTTTCAATGGCACATCTTTTTCTATTTTACCCTTATCTATCTAGATAATTTATTTTTTTGTATTTATCATTAATAAGAGTTGGTAAGAGTTCTCTTATCAATGTATTTATTTGTTGTAGAACTTCTTCTATCAATATTCTTGATGTCCAATGTTTTTCTAAATTAAATGATTTTCACATCAAAGGCTTCTGGTTTATTTCACCTCAAAGTTTTAAGCAGCCTCATGTTGATCCCATAAACTTCTTACAAGTTTTAGTCTTAATTGCAGATTGAGATGTGAATAGGAAAGAAACCCGTCAGAGTAATAAAACTATCCATAACTTGAGAAATTCTGATTTTTATTTCATGTTCTGGCTTGTGCTTGTTGTTAATTAAACAGCCCTTGTACTTGTAATTAGTGATCTGCTCTAGCATTGTTCTATTTATTGGTCGAGGCAACAGAATATTTCATCAATTTTTAATTACCAATCTTTTAGTATTTTCTTTGCTTATCTTCATTCCAAAACTTGTACATATCTAGTTTAACTTGGTTAATATGTTTTGTAACCCAACATCTGAGTCTGCAATGAGTAATGTGTCATCTCCATATTGGATGCCTTCTTCTTGCAGTACTGTGTCCTATAGGAGGTTGGCTACCATCACAGCAATCTTTACTTTGTTGGCTGCAGCTCTGAACAATTGTATTGAACTGCACCCATACCACTCCCCTAAATTTCGCAACCAGGAAATCCTCCTACGTCCCACATTTCTCTTTCCCGAGATGCCATTACCTTTTATTCACGCATTCAGTCTTTCTGTGCCCTTCTGTAATTTTACATCCACATTCTTACAACCTTAATACTCTTACATACATGTTCAGCAAGAGATTTCTATTGCATATTACATAATGCCAGTTAATGAATATTTTGCATTCCTAGATTCAGTATTTTTGTAACCAGATATCTTAAGTGTTCTATCCTGTCCAGTATTTTAATGTCCTATTTTAGTAATAATTGTTGGATATTAATTTTTCTGAAATCTACACATTTCATTTTCTTTGTGTCAGGACCAGCAGCCTTCCTTCATTTCGCTTTTTTACACATGTGTTTCTTTGTTTCTGAATTTGTATTATTTTTTCACATACGTTACCTCAAAGATGTTTTGTGTCATCCACTCCTATTTAACTGTTCAATGTGTCAGAAGTTTTTCTTGAGCTGTAGTGATCATTGTCATTTTCATTTGTTCCCAACAAGCATTTATGTTATTAGTATCGTTTAGTTTTGTTCACAGTCATCACAAAGAAGGAAAAAAAAATATTTTAGTTTAATTCCGGTACAATATGTTATTAATTTCTTAAGAAACCTGACAGTTTTTATATAAAGTGGTGTAAAAATCTATATCTTTAAAGGATATCTCTATTCTTAAAGATTTGTATCCCTAGATGCCTTGCAGATTTCTTATTTAAAGTTGAAATTCATGCATTTTTTAATGCAAGTTTAAAGGCATATGCTGCTTGTATCAACAATAGTGTTATTCACTTCTCTAAACAAGTTTCTTGTTCTCTAAAAACTGTGAAGTGCTGATCAATATACTTTCGTATACTTTTATACATGAAACATATGGGGCAGTCCGCACATGAAGATACTAAAAAGAAACCAGTTGGTAACTATAGTTATCTATCAGTTGCTTATTAGTCACTGTCCATATATTTTGTATGTATGCGACCATGTGCAGGTCGCTTGGTGACTAGTTTCTAGTTTGTTGTGACATTTTTAAAGTTTACACGCGAAAGGATGAAATTGGTAGAACAGTTGTTTAATATAAAATTAGTGCAAGAAGTGGAAAAACAATTTATATTGTTTGCAATGTTGGGATGAACCCAATACCTCCGTTTTTTCTGCATTTTACGTCTTTTATTATAATAATATGTCCATTACTTGAGTCACTAGACATTTTTAATGCGACAATAACACTTAATAATATAATATAAAGTTTAAAATTTAAACAGCCTATAACAAAGCTACTCGTACAGGCAAGAAATGACCGTTTCTATTAATTTTCAGTAGCGTAGTGTGCGAGTCACAGTTCAGTAAACAGTTGGTAATTCTAGTTACCAACTAGTTTAGTTTCTTTTTAGTAGCTTCATGTGCGGACAGCCTAACTCCCAAATTTCAATAACTCAATTTTTTGATAATATCAATAAAAAAACTTTATATAAACATTTTTTAGGAATAAATAAGTACTTTCAGATGGCATTTATATGTGATAAGTTTATGGATAATATACACAAAGACATAGATTCAGAGAGGGTTTGGACCCATTTGGAAACTATGTATAATCTTGAAGCGTTAGATGAATGTGAATCTATTCCTTTTCCCAACTCTGAAAAAGAGTTTAATCTGCCAGAATCTGAATTTGGTAGCTGGATAACAAAGAAAGATGAAGAAAAGAAGTTGCAGCCAGGAAAAACTTCCAGTGAATCTCCAGTTAAACAGGTAACATTTTTATATTTGATATATTTTTTAATGAGAATATAGGTTGTGTGCTACTTCATTTCAAGGTTATTTAATTTTCTATTTAGTGATATAAACATTAACATAATTGTTTATAGCCTGTATAAACAACAGGCCACAAAATATTTTAATTTTTGAATTAACCATTTAAGGCTTTATACTTTGTCTGACACAGAGCAGATTTCCGGTAAATTCAGGTCTTGGCTGTTAGTGACCCATTCATGACGAATTCATTATTGTTATTTTTTTCTAAGATTTAGAATTAATATTTTTTTGTCCTTATGACAGTTTATGTTGAGTGTTAGATGTAGTTCGTAGAGATGACTGTCAAAAGGTGCACCTATTCTTTTGAACCGAGTTCGCCGCCGTGACACGGTGGACCTAGTTCGTCTTTTGTCAATAGGCAGGTGCAGGTGCAGAGCAACCAATTCCTTCGAATCAAGTTTTGTAACTCGGACTCGGAATATTTGGATTCGTTCGGCAACGGCCGAGCGGCATAATCGGAATCGGAACTGGGATTAATAACTGAATAGTGAATCGATTATAGCTTGGCCCTGCTGCTGAACTGGTTCGTTGTATGGTCTAATTCGAGATGGTAAAATTCGGTTGGTATCGGCCATCGGGTCACTCATAGCAGTTAGAGAATGGACAAGGATGTTATTTGAACAAGTTTGTTTTTTTTTATGATAATTAATGTGGTATCAAATTACACTGCAAGGTGTCAAAAAAATAAATAGCTATTAAAAAAGTAAATTCTTTAATAAAAATAGTTATATTACAATATTAAGTATAAAAAAAACAAATACGCACAATGTTATTTATAAACTAGAATGTCTAAAATTTAAAAAGTCATTTTTAATATGCAAAAATAATAATTTTTTGACTTTTTGAGCACTTAATCGCTTACGTCTTTCATTCAAAATTTGTCCAGCTGTCGAAAATAGATGTTTGCATAGAACATATGTGACTAAAGCAAACTTGTTTCTTAAAGTTAACTTAAAGTGGGATAATTATGTCGGTTGGTTTTCCACCAAAGAAGGGAATCTTCGTCTTTATTTAAGATATCATCTTTAATATAACGCTGCACTTCAATGATAGCTTTACTGATCCCTGTCCCTACCGGTTGTTTTTTAGATATTTTGTTATCTAAAAAGACTAAAGCGACTATTTGCTTCTCGTTAATTCATTGCTAGTAGTCGGTTCTTTTTCCATTCTGTCTGCGATGGAGCCCTAATTTGTGCAACGAGATCTGCTGCCATATTTGTCACTTTTTTCTTTATCTGATCTGCAGCTATAGCGCTTTGAAATGGTAGAAGCTTGAAACGTGGATCTAAAAACGTATTGGCAGCCAGCGTAACATTTTTTAATTTTGTTTGGAGTTTTTAGGGTTTGGAGTCCATGTTTTAGTTTACCAATAACTTGGTTTGATAAATCTGATTTCAGTTCGCCAAAAGTAATCATTTCCTCCATTACATTTATTAGACCTCCAGTAAATAGAATTACTAATGACGCCGATATGTATTTTTCCCCACTAACTGATGAAGTTACAGTTTCAAAAGGGCGTAAAATGTCTACCAAATTTTTTAGCAAGCCCCATTCTTCTAACGTTATTATAGGTAACGAAATGTTTAAGAGAGCAATTGTCGATCGTATTGCCTCCTCCAATTCCACAAATCGCTGCAACATGGCAAAGGTGGAATTATACCTTGTGGAAACGTCTTACAAATTTTTTTTTGGGCAGCTAGTTCCTAAATTTTTTTGATACTGCAATAATTTATCATTAGCTGCTGAACTTTTTTTAAAGTGCGTCACTATTAATTTTACTTTGGTGACGATCGGCTCAACTAGTTTTAAAACATCTTGCAAAATTAAATTTAAACTATGTGCAAAACAGCCAAGATGCTTCATTCAAGTCTTCTATTGCTTTTTTAATATTCGCCGCATTGTCGGAAACTATGCGAAATTTAACATATAATTAAAGTAACATATAATGGCTACAAACATGATAGTTTTTGTAAGTCCATATTACAACAGTAAATACTGCAAAGTGTATACGTCTTCTTTACCTTTCTTTCGTAACTAGTATATATTTAAGAGACATTCTTTACTTTTCTGTATACTTTAACTTTAAACCATAGAAAGATATTGTACTTTTCAAAGTGTAAAGTGCGAAAAATTGAGATTGGTCTGAGAAAAGTATAACGTGATTTAGTTGTCAAAACCTGTTAAGGTTATATACCAGGTGCACCTGCACCTGCAAAAATGAACCGAGTCTGCAGTCGGAATCGGAGTCATTGCACCTGATCCCTTGATGGAACTGACTTTGTCATCTCTATGTAGTTGCACTTAGCGTATTTTCATTTCTGTCAGGTAGTAGTAGATATTTTTGTATTACATTTGCAGTTTAGTTTATTTTCGATATTCAAACGTTTTATTACCTTTTCTGACTCGTTTATGACGATTTTATTATGCCATTATTTTTTACCAGATAATAGAATTACTCATTTTTTGTTCTTATCACAATTTATAATGAGTTTTAGATGTAAGTTTATTTTCGTTTCTCTCAGGTAATAGGTTTTTCCTGTGTTACATTTACAAAGTTTACAGTTCATATTACAGGCCATTGCACAAAATATTTTTGAACTAAATTGTACAATTTTATCATCAGAAATATATAAAGAAAATAAAGAAAGTATTACTGCAGAAATTGTAATGTATTGAGTTGATCAAAGTTCCCAAGTACTGATATTTTTCTATTTGTTTTATCACGTTACCATTTATTGTCAATATGTGGCGTACATTTTGTGGTTATTTGTGGTCTTTTAATTATACATAACTATTAAATTTTCTGAAGCAAAAATACTTAAAAAAATATATTTAATTTACTAAATTAAAAATACCAAAAAAAGTTATATTGAAGCGAAGCTTCTATACTGGCGTTGTATTACCTTTTCTCTATAGTAAAATGCTGAGGCTAACGTCACGAGAAAGCGTCACGGGTAGCGTCACGAAATAGCAGTCCTTCAGACAGATTCACTACTCTCGATCAATTCGTTTCTAGTCATCATATATTTATTCTAAGCAAGTTTCAATTAAAATCGGCTTGAAAAATATCTAACAAAATACTGACATTAAATGAAAAGTAAAAAATTAAAGGAATATCTGTCAATAAAAGATTTGATTCGTAACAATTGTTAAAATTTAAAGGTCATAAATATCATCCAATTAATAGCAATATTGAATCATCTGTTTAAATTTTTATAACACTTCTCGTTTTAATCCTTTAACGCTCACTGGTATACCTGTAGTACCAAGCGTTGCCAGATGGATCAGTGAACCTAAATGCTGCTGATATTTAAATTATAGCGAGTGCGGTGTTTATGTCTACCGGTGGATTTCGTCAGTTGGCTTAGAAGTCTCATAGTTGGCGGTAAAACTTGCCACATGCTCTTGAGTGGTATTACTGGTGTACCAGTGAACATTTAGACAACCGTTCTTTACACCTTTTTTGTGTTTGTTGTTTATTTCTGGCTGCTGTTTCTAAATTTAGCTGAAGTTTCCCTAAACACAGGTAAGTTCAGTTTAAAATATATTTAAACTGTACATGTTTTGAAAGCATACTTCACAAAATTTTAATATTAAAAAAACGAGGTATTCAAATAAAATTTTCTTTTGGAAAAAAAATTATACAAAATATAATTTTTATTTTTCAAAAAATTTAAAAGCAGTTTTCGATTTCCAAGTACACAGTGTTAATCTCTATATTCCTTAGATTTATGTTTTGTCTTTGAAACTTTTTTGTTGCGCCAGGAAAATTTTTGCATTTTTCAAAAGACAGTTGAATTTTTTATGTAAGATTTAAAAGAAATATGTACCTACTTGATGGTTTATTTTGTCAACTTTCTAATAAAATTGAAGTATTTATACTTTCTGTTACCTTTTTCTATAAAACGACAAACCTTCAATACTAATTAGTTTTCAATTTCTTCCTAAGACAGTTAAAAGAGGGTTCACAAAAATAAATATAGGTAAAATAATATAAATAATTTTTTTATATTTGCATTTATTTTCCAGGATTGTTAAAAATTATGGAAGAAAAGCGAAGTTTTTCAACATGGTTCTGGAAAAAGCCTTTAACGCCAGCGGAACTGTTAGAAAAATTGGAGGGAATTACTGATGAGCAAGCCGAGAACTCCGATTTTAATGGAGATTCCGATGCTGATGATGATTTAGACGAAGTATCTGATACAACTAATAATAGATCATCTTTATGTACACCTACATCCTCAGGTACTTCTATACCATAGCTACCTCGAAAACGAAAGATTAACTTGAATTTATCAGAGGGTAATATAGAAGTTGACTTGGATTCCGATGATTCAGTGGACGATCCTAATTTCATGCCTCCTTCAAAGCTTCCACTGGTTTCCCATGAGAGGGAAGAAGAGGATGAAGAGGTAGAAAATACTACTGAACCATTTTCTTCTTGGACTAAGATTGCCGTCTCCCCTAAGAGGTTCAATGAATTTAACTTTACTGCCGATGTAGGAATACAGATTGAGGTTGAGTCCGAGGAGCCAATTACATTTTTTGAAAAACTTTAACACCTGAGTTTATGACCTTGTTTGTTTAAAAATCAAATCTATATGACAAACAAAATAGGAAACAATTAGATTTAACAGTGGAGGAGCTTAAAGCATTTACTATAATAGCAGAAATATTTCCTCTCAAAAATTTTTTTAAAAAGACTCAGGCTCTTGCACCTAAATGACAATCACAACATGCCGCCTCGTGGATCCACAGATTATGATAAACTGTACAAAGTACGTCCACTCATTGAACACTGCTCTAGTACATTTTGCCGATCGGTTAAACCTGGCCAAAATGTTGCAGTAGATGTAGTTAAAGATTTCTCTGGTCAGGGATATTGTATTTATTTCGACAATTTCTATACCACTATACCCCTTATGTAAAAATTAAAAGAGAGATCTCTTTTTGATAGTGGAACAATCAGACAATCTAGAAAATATGTACTAAAAGAGAAATTAAAAGAAGACAAAAATCTGGCGATGGGGCAAATAGACTTTGCAGTGTCTGATGAGATATCTCTATCACCAAATGGAAAGATAGAGGGGTAAAAGCAGTTGCTGTGTGTAGTAATATGCACAATGCTGCTGACACTGGCCACATTCTTCGCATGAATAAAAAAGGAGAGAGATAAGTTGTTGAGTGTCCATCTTCTATAGTTGATTACAACAAATATATGGGCACTGTTGGCCGCTTTGATTAAAGAATGGCAGCATATTCCATTCGTTGGAAAAGAAGAAGATGGTGGGCGAAGCTTGTATATTACTTTATAGATGCATGTATTGTAAATGCCTATATACTAAATATAGATCTAAAAAACGAATCCACGAAAAAACCTTGTAGCCATCTACTCTGCTCATAGGTATCTGCTGGATCTGCTCATAGGAAATGATAAGGCCAGAAAACGGCCAGGACCTACAACTATAAACAAAAATGATTTTGGGAACACATTCCCAAAATTCACGTTCCAGGTAAAACAACCAAAAGGAGGTATCAAGAATATTCCAAACGGGGAATCCAGAATTGTAGTAATTGCCATGTCTGTGATGTAGTTTTATGTGTGAAGTTTTTAAATTTAAAATATATATTGTTTTATTTAGATAATGTTTTGATTTGATACTGTTTGTATTTTTAGTGTATTTTTATAATAAATAATATTGAATGGTTTTGGTATACCATGTATACCAGAGAACATTTATGATCTTTTTTCCTTTAATGCTCCCTGGTAGAATAGTTTACCACATTTTTACAAAAAAATGAACCATCTAAAAAATACAAAAAAAATTTTTACTACTTAGTGTATATATTTTTGTGTAAAAATGCTCAGTTTAGCAAAAAAATAATTTTGCGCCTTAAAGGGTTAAAATGATTCCATATAAATACAAATATTATTTTTGAACATCTTATTTAGTGTATATTATAATTAAATTTATTGTCAAATGGTATTTATTTATATTTTATTATTAATTTAATGTTTCGTCTGAATCTGACAGGTCCGTCAGAAGTAAACATCTTATGCTTTATTAATACGTTAGGAGCAAACATAATAATATCGAGGAATATTCAATATTGTTCTTTTTTTTCTAATTGTATTGTTAATCTTGCTGTCTTTATTTCAGGTAAAAGAAATAAAAAAGGAAGAAAAGACTCCAATCAAGAATCAAAAAGAACGGCGAGATAGCAAAGAAGGTAAAGACAATAATAAAACCCCCATTGCCAAAAAAGAAATAAAAAAGGAATCTGAAAAGGTAGTAAAACAAATTGTGAAAGGTAGAAATTCAACATCTTCTAATAGTGAGAGCAAAAGTGGCAAAACAAAGTCTGAAGACACACCTAAACCTGCCAAAAGACCCACCAGGGGCAGCTTGAAACCCAACGATGATTCCGGTTCCAGTGGAAAGTCTAGCCCTATCACTGTCACTCCAACTGCTAAAAGAGTCAGGCGTATTTAAAGACCAGTGAATATCATTATCAATATATTAAAGTTACCTTAGATACCTAGTTGAAACCAAAATGGAAGACAGGGTATAGAATGAAAAGTATATTCGGAAAAATTTTAACACTTCTAGGTATATAGCAAACACACACAGTTATTGATCTCTCTGAAATCAAAATCAATATTTAGGTCCAATTTTAACTTTCAAAATTTTTTGCTGTAATTCGAACAATGTTTTAAAAAAGTGACATTGTTTTTATTCATATTGAATAATAATTAACTATATTTGCACATTTTTGCCAAAGTATCGTAAGTCAAATTGAGTCAATTCCACAGAAGATACCTTTTTTTGATGTGACATTGGATAGATACTTTTTAACTTATAATGTTTATTAGATTAATATAGGAACATATTAGTGAAAAAAAATATTAATTGTATGCCCCTAACTCACACATTAGCCTTTTTGTCAGTCCCAAGTAAGGTAAGAAGGATACATTTGCTGCAAAGCAGGGCCAGTGTCTCATTACAATATATATGTTACGGTTAAACTTCGAAAATCGTTAATCTGGACATTAACCAGTTAATCTTGACTTTAACCAAACTGTAGAGAACGTACAAATATGGGCTACCATTTTGTTTATTACTGATATCTTGACTATTTTTTGATCGAAAAAAAGTTCAAATTACATAATTGACATGTAGAATTGTTTTGCTCTTTTGTGCTAGTCTGTTTTTCTGCCTAGTAAGATATTTTTTTCTGTAATGCTATAATAAGAAACGGAATGGTGACATAAATATGGGCTACCAGTAAAAATATTTTTATTTTTATTTTATAATTTTTTATGTACAATATTCACACACATATTCGTTTCTTTCTGCACCAGGACAATCTATATGTGCCCACAAGTTGCATTTTCTGAGGGACACTGAATCCATTTTCACCTCGATAATCCTCACAAAATTTTTCGTCACAGAAAATACAATTTACATCCGTATTTTCCAGATTTGTTACACCAGGAATCTTTTCCAAATCCATATCTTCATCAGCTGGTTGAAATTCCTGCTCACTATCGTTGTAAGAAGAACTTTCTATTTTCTTTTTATGCCGCCTCTCTGACTTGTTTTTAATTTTTTCTTAGTCTCCTCCCTTGTGGACTCAGCCGTAATGTGTCGTTTTACTGCTTGTACATTTAATTTATTATTGCTGGTCTAATGCTTCCTTGTAAGGTGAAGAAGTTATTACTGTTGATTTCGATAATTTTCTACCAAGATTTGTAGGTTTGTTTTCGTGACCGACGGCGCTAGCGATATTTCAAATGGACTTACAAACTTCTGCAACCAAAAGGACCTGGTTCACTAATGTTGCTGGCTTCTGGTATTTTTGGTAGGATATCAGGTTCAATAGCTTGCGGACTTAAAAACTTCTGCAAACCAGGACCTGGTTCACTGATGTTGCTGGCTTCTGATGTGTTTGGTAGGATAGCAGGTTCAATGTTTCAGTTGCGTATATATCAATGGAAAAAATAAGGGTATTTACCAACCTGAGTTCAGTATTCCTTGCTATTATTCGGTCTTTCCATATTTTAATCAATTTAGCTGTTGCAGTTCGTACCATTGCTAGTCTACGCTTAATTTCTGAGGAACAATCGCCATTGTTGATTATCAGGGAGTCCAAATATACAAATCAGGCTACTACTTCAAAATTTTCCACTTGGCGTGAATCGCTGCCTTCCGCTTATCAACTTGACAAGTAACCAAAACCAATTATCAGCCGCTTCGGTTACGTTGTCATCTAGAACTCTACAAATATCTTCACTATAAGGAAATAACGTAACCATCCACGTTAAAATTTCCCCATCCGCCAATGCCTAATGGTCAATAATTGTATAAACGATCTTCAAGCTATCAAAAGAATATGTCCCAGCTAATTACAAAGTAGATTTGGAAACAGTTGCACCGTTAATTAAAAAATGTTAAAATGCTGGCGTTGCTACTGGATCGTTGGTACAAATGAAAAAAAAAAAGAATCTGTAGGATTTTTCAAGCTAGCATCTACCACATCGTCGCCCTTTGGATCAGCAAAGCCTAGTTCAGAAGAAAAAAAAGCAAACTATAGGGACAATCAAACCGAACAAAACTGCCGACGCTGACAGACGCGCTGACAGACGCGCGGCCATTGCCGAGAAGGCAAATTCTGAATAGAGAAAACTTTAACAAAGACGAAGAAATTAAATATAGTCAGTCCTACAAAAAAAAACCAAAGGCTCGTAAGTCAAAAACTGCCAAGGTAATTTCACCAAAACCGGCAAAACTGCTGCTCTTAAGAAAAAGTAATTTGATTGATATCTTAAATTATAAATACATAATTTCTTGAAATGTTTCATATTTGCCATTTCTCGCATGACACAGTGTTTTTAAAACTGCCTAATAAATAATTATATGTACAATTGATATGTGTGTAATTTGTTAACATACAAATGATTGATTAATTTCTACAAACAAAAAGTCTATTTGTAGATATTTTAAAACAAATTCTTTTCGGTATACTTGATGGACTGTACTGCCTTCTTTTCCAACGGTTTAAATTTTTTGCCATTTACGCTTGCTTTAAAACCTAGATCACTAATAATATAAATAAGTAAAGACAATATTCAAATTGTTTAATCGTGTCCCATGAAATGTGTACAAGCAATTAACTTTGGAAACAAAAATTGGATCTGCATTACTCTCTATAAATATACCACTTTCATCTTGAAATTGAATTACACAATGTGTATTGTAATATGTAAAACATGACTGATTTTGATGTAAACGTTTAGAATACATAAATATAACGAATTAATGATGTTTGAACAAAAATGGGTTTTAGGAGATACATCAACAACTTTTTTTTCTGATATTATTTAGTTGTCTAATCCCTACCTGAAAAAAAACAGGAAATATCCAGGTCTAGTGGATTTCTCCTATACAAAAATGTTGATAAAAAAAGATCTTACAAATTGTTTCCCACTACGTCCTTTTCCTACGCTTTCATGATCGTGAAGCAAATTTACAAATATTTATAAAAAAGCGAGTGCGAGTGCTTTGGGTAGGTTAAAGTTAAAGTTAAAACATCAACTGTTTGAGACACCTTACTATAAATCTGAATGAAAAAGAATTTAATTGTTGCATCATATTACAATAATCTCCCACAGCTGCACTTGTAAGTTAAATGGTCTTGGGTATATATCTTCTCCTCATTCTTCTTTAGGTACTGTACGCTGTACAGCATGTAGTCGTTCATGCTGGTTGTCGAATGTACAACTATGAGTGTTCTGCCTTCTTAGACACCACATTTCGAAAGGCTCCAAACGTTTCAGAGATCTCACTTTAAGTGATCAGGTCTCTTATCAAATTTAACGAAGGAGTTTCTAGCCATTTCTACTTCTTTATCTTCACTTTCAGGTCACACTCACAATCACTGTTTAAAGTAGCTCCAAGGTATTTAAATTTTTCACCCCGTCCAATAACATGTTATTGTTAAGCCTATAATCTTATTATATTCTCCCGATATTTACTAAATCTTGCAGCTCCTCTACATTGTTTGCTATTATAGTTGTATCGTCAGCATATCTTAGGTTGTTAATAGTAAGACCATTCATTTTGATGCCTTTTTCGTTCTGTTGTGGAAGCTGATATATCTTTTCTACATAAATGTAGAACAATAGTAGGGAGAGAATACAACCCTGTCTTACGCCTTTCCATATTTTAATTTCTTCTGTGTATAGACCGTTGGAAATTCATAGTTCCGTTTTTTGATTTCGATATAGTTATTGATGGCTCCGTCGGCGAGCCCAGTTTTGTTTAAGGTCGGAATGAATAGTTCATGTCTGACGTTGTCAAAGGCCTTTTGGTAATCAATGAAGCAAATGAAACATATTTTCTTTTTTCCTGTCATTTGAACACCACAACTTCATGCAAAAAAATTCTTTTTCTCAAGGCATTTTTGAAACCAAATTGAGTCTCTCCTGTCCTTCCTTCATATTTGTTAAAATATAAACTCGCTTATGTATTGTTTTTAGGAACACCTTTATTGCCCCTCTATATATCTAATTTCTTTTCAATAGGCGCCTCTACTCGGAATTTACGATAGTATTTTCTATGACCATCGTTCTTTCTATCAAATTAAATTATCAAAATAAATTTTGACAACGAATTCCAATTTGGGAAGTCCTCTTGTCTATTACCTAATCCAATCCTACTGAGATTAGATATGGATTTGACTTCTGAAAACTTGTCAATAATAATATACACTTTATAATTTTGGTTTGGGACGAAAGTTTTTTACCACTTAGTAATTAATTTTCATCTGCAGTTATTAAAATTATATTTATAAGCAAATTGCATCTTAAAGATATCAGACAATATATGGCAGTTCAATAACTTCTAATTGTAAGACATAGCTTAAATATGTTTGCCTCCAATAACTGATACAAATTTTCTTTTATAATTAAAAAAACTCTCTTCTGTGTCCCATTTTTGGCCAGACATTACAAATTAATCTAGAATTGTTGTATAAAATGGTTCAAAACCATTTTCTAAAAAAAAGATTGTTTTAAGTAAAATTTTATCAAAGATAAGGTTAAACTCATATTTTAATCAGAATCAATTATACTCTAAGGTCTTAAAAAGCTGAGACTATGTTTTAGCTTACTATTCATTTTAATTGAACGTCTGTTTAAATTTTCGATCGTTAGGATGAATTTTTTATCTTCTTCAAAGTCTCATAAATCAAATTTTAATAGGATGATGGGTTCACTGTTAGACGTAGAATGTATTCAAAGTCTCACAATTTTAGGCAGCTTATCTTTAATATTTTCTGTTCAGAAGTTGTCAACAACATTCCTTAAATATTATGTACACGATTCTAAAAATTTCAAACACGATTAAATAGAAAATAACTTGTTGGCTCCTCGGTCAATGAATCACTGCAACGACATATTAAGTTAGTGTTTTTGTTATACTTTCAACGAGATAGCAGAGAAAACCAATCATAAGCTGCTTCGGCTATGTCGGCACCTGGAACGCAACAAACATCTTCATCATCGCAGAAAGCGAAGGCGGCAAAGAATTATTAGAAAAAACCGTCCTACCCGCCAATATCTGGAATAGACAGTAAGCCTGTAAAAGATGTTAATGTGGTTCTTCACTTTCGACAAAGTAGAAGCATAACTTTCACCGCTTATTAAA